ACTTGTAAACTACCCAACGTAAACTTTGAAACTCCTTCCAACAGAAACCACCAAAGGGAGGCGCATTCTACGTTTGTTTACGGCCACCAACCATTAGGGACACAATTCATTGTGTGTCTAAGTTGACATAATGTTATTTGGTAATATTTAATTTTGCTCAAGTAAGGGTTAGGGTTAGGGTAGGCCCCAACAAATGAACAAGCAGCTGAAAAAATGAATTGAGTCTCTGGAAATGTGGATATACAGAAAAGAAGTCATATTTCATGGGAAAAGAATAGTCCAATTCAGAGTTGTACAACTCTAACCTATCCTAACCCTAACCTAATTTCAAAGAATATTAAATTTGAAAGGATGTTGTTATTATGTGAACTTACACAAAGAATTTGTTAAAGTAATGTTACAATAGATTATGCCACCCCCTCCCCCAAACCCCTTGTGTTAGGTTACTTGTCCCCGTGTGTGATGCAATTGTTCGTTATTCGAAGCCCCCACCTTGGCTTTTGCCAGGGGCCCTAAAGATAGCCGGGTCTGAAATATGGCCTAACGGCTGAACAGGGTTTCTGGGACCTCTCTGCAGATGATCCTCATCTGCATGATGGCCCATTGTGTCATCGGGTGTTTATCGCTTAGTGGATGTCCTGCTGAGGTTGAAACTCATTCACTCTCCCCCTAGTGTCGCTGTTCGAAGGAGTGACACCAAATCTAAGATCACTTCTTAGGCTTTTGGCTTAGATCAAAGTCTAGCTAAAGTTGACCACTTCTCTTTGCTGACCACCCCCTCCCCCATGTTGCCCTCATTTTCATTGAAAGGACCATCACCACATATTTTAAATGGAATATTACCTCTAAATGTTGATTACCTCCGTAATTTGTATGTTGACCATTTGGACTATGACATGCAACTGTAAAATACACTATTACTTGACCAGCCAGTCTTAACCAGCAGTATGTATGTGTACTTATTTTGATTTCAAAGAACCAAATGAAGTGCTGAGATCAGATTCTCAGAGAATCCATAGACAACATCAAGAGATAAAAGGCTTCATTTGGTCTATGCGGCAGTTTAACAGCTTTTTAAAAAAGAAGTCCATATGAGCATCAATGTCTGGATGGCTTATTGGTCTGCAAGTATGCGACCTGTCGGGAAAGGGATTGGAGACATCGCATCGACACTGCAAGAGTCCTTTTCAGGGCTACTTGGTGGCCAGTAATTTTAAGCATAAAGATGGTGCCAATAAACATACCACAATATAACCTTTAGCCCCCACCCCACTCCCGAGGGATACTGGTTGAGTGTGGTCCTATTGTATTAGTTTTCATCAACTTTGCTCGCTCGCTCTGTAAAAGGGAGGATTTCAAATAGAGAGTAGGAATGACTAACACTGTTTTCAATAAGATCCGCAAATTATTGACAGCAAGAGGGAAAAACAGCACATTAAAAATAAGAATCGTCAAATGTTATGGATATTCAACCATGCTATAGCCTATGGTGCAGAAACTTGGACAATGAACAAGCAGCTGAAAAAATGAATTGAGTCTCTGGAAATGTGGATATACAGAAAAGTAGTCATATTTCATGGGAAAAGAATAGTCCAATTCAGAGGTTCTGGAAAGACTACAAATAAAAGAGAATTAGTGAAATACATTTTAAAAAAGAGAGAGAGACAATTTAAATACTTTGGCCACATTAAAAGACATAACACGCTTTTAAATACAATACTGGAGGGGGGAAAGTCGAGGGGAAAAGAGCAAAAGGCCAAAACCGTTACAAGTGGGAGGACAACATAAAGAGATAGATGAATAGCAGTCTGAGAAAGTGTACAAACAAGACAAGAGATAGATGAACAGCAGTCTGAGAAAGTGTACAAACAAGGCAAGAGATAGATGAACAGCAGTCTGAGAAAGTGTACAAACAAGACAAGAGATAGATGAACAGCAGTCTGAGAAAGTGTACAAACAAGACAAGAGATAGATGAACAGCAGTCTGAGAAAGTGTACAATCAAGACAAGAGATAGATGAACAGCAGTCTGAGAAAGTGTACAAACAAGACAAGAGATAGATGAACAGCAGTCTGAGAAAGTGTACAAACAAGACAAGAGATAGATGAACAGCAGTCTGAGAAAGTGTACAAACAAGACAAGAGATAGATGAACAGCAGTCTGAGAAAGTGTACAAACAAGACAAGAGATAGATGAACAGCAGTCTGAGAAAGTGTACAAATAAGACAAGAGATAGATGAACAGCAGTCTGAGAAAGTGTACAAACAAGACAAGAGATAGATGAACAGCAGTCTGAGAAAGTGTACAAACAAGACAAGAGATAGATGAACAGCAGTCTGAGAAAGTGTACAAACAAGACAAGAGATAGATGAACAGAAGTCTGAGAAAGTGTACAAACAAGACAAGAGATAGATGAATAGCAGTCTGAGAAAGTACAAACAAGACAAGATATAGATGAACAGCAGTCTGAGAAAGTGTACAAACAAGACAAGAGATAGATGAACTGCAGTCTGAGAAAGTGTACAAACAAACACAGGCGATAGATGAACAGCAGTCTGAGAAAGTGTACAAACAAGACAAGAGATAGATGAACAGCAGTCTGAGAAAGTGTACAAACAAGACAAGAGATAGATGAACAGCAGTCTGAGAAAGTGTACAAACAAGACAAGAGATAGATGAACAGCAGTCTGAGAAAGTGTACAAACAAGACAAGAGATAGATGAACAGCAGTCTGAGAAAGTGTACAAACAAGACAAGAGATAGATGAACAGCAGTCTGAGAAAGTGTACCAACAAGACAAGAGATAGATGAACAGCAGTCTGAGAAAGTGTACAAACAAGACAAGAGATAGATGAACTGCAGTCTGAGAAAGTGTACAAACAAGACAAGAGATAGATGAACAGCAGCCTAAGAAAGTGTACAAACAAGACAAGAGATAGATGAACAGCAGTCTGAGAAAGTGTACAAACAAGACAAGAGATAGATGAACAGCAGTCTGAGAAAGTGTACAAACAAGACAAGAGATAGATGAACTGCAGTCTGAGAAAGTGTACAAACAAGACAAGAGATAGTGCTTGTTGGACAGACGTTGCAGCCAACCTTCACTGTGAAAACGTCACATTACAGATTATGCATTCAAAGACAATGACATATACAATGATAAAATGTGTGGATTATTGTTCAAAGTGATTCTTGATAGGAGCCTTGTCATGAAATGTGACAATGACAGGAGCCCTACCATGAAAAGTGACACTGATAGGAGCTTTGCCATGAAATGTGACAATGGCAAGAGCCTTACCATGAAAGGTGACACACTGACACAAGCCTTATGAAAGGTGACACTGACAGGAGCCAAGCTATAAAAGGTGACACTATTACGACCCCAACCATGTAGAGTGATCCTGACAGAAGCCAGGAGTCTCAACATGAAAGGTGACACTGACAGGAGCCTCACCATGAAAGGTGACACTGACAGGAGCCTCACCATAAAGGGTGATACTGATAGGAGGCTCACCATGAAGGATGACATTAATAGAAGCCTCACCGTAAAAGGTTTTACTGACAGAACCCTCACCATGAAAGGTGACACTAACAGGAGCTACACCAAGAGGGGTGACACTGACAGGAATCTCATCGTAAAGGGTAACACTGACAGGAGTCTCATCGTAAAGGGTGACACTGACAGGAGTCTCATCGTAAAGGGTGACACTGACAGGAGTCTCATCGTAAAGGGTAACACTGACAGGAGTCTCATCGTAAAGGGTGACACTGACAGGAGTCTCATCATAAAGGGTGACACTGACAGGAGTCTATTGCGTGTTGGGTTGTCTTTCCCTCTCAGTCGACAAAGCTAGTTAGTTAGTTAGTTAGTTGGGTTATCCTCATTGCACTCCGACATGTCCATAGGTGCTCAGATCCTCCCCTCAGTATGAACCCCAACGTCCGATGGCTAATAGTACCGGTTCTATGTTGATTAACAAGTCGTCTGGTGTGCGTCTCGTTTTTTGCTTGCCGATCTTAATTCCCAAGTCTGCCATTCTGGCGAGTGATGTGGATTCGCTACCACCAAAGTCCTCTATCCTTCCCATTTCTCTGAGGGCATTGATAATATCAGCATGATCCATAGGCTGACCGTCGGTAGTGATAGCGGATCCAGCCAACCTGTCAGCTCTTTTATTTCCATCGACGCCTGCGTGTCCCGGAACAAAAATAAAGGTGACTCCACGCACAGTGGACTTCTGTAATGATTCAAGCCATTGTCTTCGCACTGAACCTGCCTGAACCCTCCGGATCATACTCATTGAATCACTGAGTATACATACACAGGTGTATTTTTGTGTTTCAAGCCAGGCAAACGCTTGCAGGTTGTCATGGAGAAGGCGCCGTTGGCTTCTTTGACTGTTCTGCCCGCTGAGCGTGTTGTAAATGCCCATGCGCTTCTTCTTTGGCGTATAATCGGATCCGTCTGTATAGATTATTGCATCTGCCTCGTCTGAATTTTCACCGATGAGAGCGTTGACCTCTGCATTAACAGCAACAGGATTCTCTTCTCTACATCGACTGTTGAGTGTGACAATACAGGAAAATGTACAAATAAACGCCTGAGGCACAGGTATCCATTCTGCACCAG